GAAAGTCGGTTATCCGAAAGAATTCCAGTCGGCCTAAAGTATAATTTTTATTTGTTTTTATATTTTTCAATGTATTTATTTCGTTTGTAAAACATAAAGAAATCATTTTTAACGATACAATAGCCACGATTATTATTTTAAAAAGTTTACATTAGGCTTAACATCGACGAAAATTCAACGCGAAGCGACACGCAACGGAGAAAAATTTCAACACGGGATAGGTTAATGTATTTTTTCATACATAATCGGTTATCCGAATGACCCCAGTCCCCAATTGATTCGGATAAACGACGCTCTACTGTATTGTTATCTTAACTACAATAGATTAATCAGTGATTGTTTTCATTTTTCGTACTGCAGACTTTTATTTATGGAAAGAAGCATGTGTTCATGATCTAGTCTGCTTCTTTTCTCGTGGAAAGTTATGACAGAGGTGGTAAAGAGATGCTGTTTGTATGTATAATACTGGATATATTCTTTAGTATTCAAATTTAATTTTTCAGTGTTATGTTTGAAATCTTGTATACTTGAATACTAAAAATTATTTTAGTATTTGTGGATAGTATGTATCCATCTCTACAAAACATAAAAGATGATTTTTTTCAACAAACATCAATTTGCAAAATAATATTAATCGTATTTAGAAGTTTCTGCTTGCTTCTATTTAGTAAATTATTACATGCAATGTGTTTTTTGCATTTTAAATAAATTAAGACAGATTTTAAAGCAGGGGTGTCCAACCCGCGGGCCGCGTATGGCCCAAGGTAAGTTCCAATGCGGCCCAATAAACGTGTAAACAATACTGAAAAATTAAAAATTTTTATTTATTTATTTAATTCAAGGCATAAACTTAAAAAAGAAGTTTCACAAAGCCGTAAACCTTTATTCATATTTTATTTTTGAGTGGAAAAGAAATATTTTCAAACAAGTAAAACGGCAAAACCGTATTTGGGACAAGACTATGTCTCGGAGACGAAATCACTTTGATGTTCAAGGCAGGTCTCGTTCTCATTCTCCTATCTTCTTTGATATCGCTGCTTTTGGGCGCGACTGTTAAAACTTCTCCTGCCTCGACCACGAGGTCGTCCATGGTGCATCTTCGATGAAATTAACCTATCTAATTTCAAAATTTCTCTCCGTAGTGTGTCAGCCCGGGTTGAATTTTTGTCGATGTGTAACGAAAAGTTCCCGTTTTCGAAAAAAATAATCGTGGCTATTGTATCGTCTGAAATTATTTTTTTTATTTTGCACAGACAATATACAGTTTAACCAGATTATAACGTCATCGAATGTAACGACAACCCTAATATAACGTCATATTTTTATTCATAGTACGATTTTACTATACTAGATAATGTTAGAAAAAACCCCACTTGTAATGACATAAAACTGCTTTAACATCATAATTGAAGCACTTCCAAATTTACAAAATTAGATTACAAGTTTTATTTAGCATAGAAGAAACTACGTGTTCGGTCCTAAAGTCAGAGTTCACTTCTTAGAATGACTGTGGGTAGTACTCTCCCCTACCTGACTTCGGTGGGGTGAGCTGGCTGTTTTGCCTGTTTGCAGAAGAGGGTTGCCATTTTGTATTTTATTTTGACTCAGTTCTTGGTCCCCCGACTACCTATGAGTCTGGATTTTTTATGCTCAAATGATTTGGGCACCTAATGCTCTGTGCCAAATATCAACTCCTTACATGTACTCCTTCATACCTCTATGCTGATAAGAACATGAAATAGTACGATTTTATAAACAAGACATAATCTTGTCAATACTTGCAGATGTGTGAATGAGGAAGGATTACTAAATAAAACTGGAGTTGTGACTCAAAGAATTATAGACCTAAATTTGGGGAAAGGAGGGAAAGTTGAGAAAGGACAAAAGATAAAAAGTAGTGAAAAAGGTTAAATAGATCTTCTGTTATGCAAATATTGATTCTTAGTTTTCCAACCTTTCTCACTTCTTTATCTTTTGTCCTTTCTCTCCTTTCCCCGCATTTGGGTCTATAATCCTTTGAGTCACATTTAGCTTTATTTAGTATTTCTTCCAACGTTGCAAGATTTGGCTACATTTGTGCCAAATTTGGCTACTTTTTTTTGTTTGATGTAGAAATTATCATTTGGTGCATTGGCTACTTCTTGGGTTACATATTATTTATAAATATATTAGTCGAATAAAAATACACTTTAAAATGGTGTTTCGTCGCTTTTTATTAATTAGAGACCCAAATAAAACAAATATTTGTATTTTTCAAATAAACTTTGTCTGTCTTTTTTATAATAAATGAATTTATCTATTTCTAAGTAAAAATTGAAAGTTTCTGTAGAAGTAATTTTTAAAATATCCTTTTTCGTGATAAAGATTTAATACTTATTATTATAATTTAGACGAGTTAATCCTTAAATATACTAGTATGTTGGGCCACAAGTATATATTATATATACTTGTGGCCCAAAACTCCTTGACTTCTTCCAATGCTGCCCAGAGAAACAAAAAGGTTGGACACCCCTGTTTTAAAGTATTGAAGAATGTATTTTGAGTATATTAATTTAAAACATTTTATATTTATAATAATGTTATTTTTAAATAAACATTAATACACATTGGAAGTAAACAATATGCTACAGATGAAATATTAATTAAAGAAATAACTTCCTGAACATTTTTATTTATTCAGCACAATGGAGTGCAATTCTTAGGACACAAGACATTTATTACATTATTTATTTGTTCATTGATACATGTTTCGGGTTCTTTTACCTCTCTTCAGTCAGCTTTTAATTAGAAGACAAGGTTTCAAATTTAGTGAACTTCCTGAACAGCTTAATTAAAAATAACCTCCACTAATACATTTTTTTCTGAAAAAATAGGTGCACAGTTGAGACATCTGTTTTTACTCTCACTCTCGACTGCATTCCATAAATGAATATATAGTAAAATCTCATGTTGTGGCAACCTCTGAAATTCCCCTGTAAAATTGCATGAGTTTTAATATAAAAACTGAATTCCATCTTGGTGGCCACTGGCAACTTCACTTAAGTGGCTAACAAGTAAGATAGGAGTGTCCTAAAATGATATTTATTCCTATTTACATGGCCAACATAGGAAAATTCAACATATTGTTTAAAGCATTCTAAATGGAATGTCTATTTAATCAATGTACAATGCCTGTATTTTAATATTTTATTATTTGGTGTTAGTACATTACTCTGTATGAAAATTTAAATTACTGTATATTGAAAAAGATAAAATATTCACACGATACTGTATTTATTTATTATATTTCATTTTCTGTTTGCTTTTATAATTTGTATTAAACTTTTAGCAGGATTTAGTATAGTACTCTTAATTATAATTCTGTGTGTCAATTTTTTCTTAACCTCATCTAGGCAATCACCTCACTTCTTGTTGTCAGAAATTGTATATCCCCAAAGGGGATATACAATTACTTCTCACCAGTTTTCTTCTTTCTTTGTATAAACACCAAAATATCTATCTGAAGAGTGTTGAGTTTTCTAAGAAGTTTGTTTTGATTCATTGGGGGGCCCTGTATATACCTGCATCTTAAAGAGCCATCATCCATTTTTATTTCCTAGTTCTTTTTTAAAATTTTCATTTAATTTAAGTTAATCCATTAACATTTTTATTATTTGATACAAGGAATCAGTAAATGGGCCATAACATTAACCCTCTAATTTAGCAGATCATTATGTTTCTCTTTGTTGGTTTGATTTGATGGAAAATGATAACTGATTGTCATATCTTGCAAAGAGGAATACCAATCTTTTAATCTTGACTTGACTAAACTTATTAGAAGCCAAACTACTACTGATTTATATCACTGATGCAAGCAGTATGCCTGTTGTAATAAACTGGGACACAGCAGGAGAGTTTGTTTCAACCTTGTCTAATTAATTTTGAAATCTGTAAATTATTAAAAAAATAAATTATACATTATACTAAAATCTGTAATTTATGTTATAAAATATAAAAATTCTCTTTAATATTTTTAGAGTCGAGGTGGTAGAGCAGTTTTCCAGTTCTATCCTGAAAATAACAATCAGGTAAGTTTTTATTGTACGTTTAAAATATCATTTAAGAATACAGAGCATTGATTATATTAAGTAATTGGTGACACAATTTTGGATAACCAATTACACTTGGTAGGTAAAGAATAAAAAAGGTAAATACCTTAAATAAGATATATTTAGACATTATGCAAAATATTCAAGAAAATGTTAATAATTCAATCAAATTCTTGTTATAGCAGATTTTTATTCTATATAAAGCTCTACTTTTAAAAATCAGATAGTCTTAATATAATGGCCAATTTTTACCAAAGCATAAAACTGATATCAATTGCTCATTAGAATACAGACATCCTTTGTTATGGTGACTTGTGCAACTTACTAAAGGTTTAAAATACATTTTTTTTTTATAAGATAAATAACAAAACCACATATGACTAAGTGTAAGGCTGTGTACACATTAGGCATTTTTAAACGCACGTTTTAAAAAACCAAGAGTTCTACATAGGTATACATACTCAAACGCATGCTTCTGGCCAAGCGCATGTCAAACGTGCATTGATAGAATTTTGTTAGAACGTGTGTTTCGCAGGTGTCACCAGCGTACTTTGAGATATATGTGCTGCCATGTTGTTGTACATTCGATCTTGTGCTTTCGGGTAGAGTGGATGTACGTTGGCCGAAATGGAGAACGATCATTTCGATACTGATCTATTTATTGATGAAATCTAAAAGAGACCAACCATTGTCAAATGATTTTATAGATATTCTAAAAGAATTAAAAAATTTGGGTTCATATTGTCTTAGTTTTGGATACAACGTCACAAACATTCCATGTGTCAGTCTATCTCGTAATATTGGGTACATCCAAAATTCTCTTTGTTTCTGCTATCGTCTTTTATAGCGAAGATGGAGGAGGCACACACAAGCAATTACTTTCACATCCATTTCCAAACTGAGCCAGTGCTCACGCTCCACTAAACAGTCATCGAACGCTGAGCTAATGCGGTGTGTAAGCTGCTAACGTGCGTTAACGCAATGCAAAATGCCTAATGTGTACACAGCCTAACAGTTTAGAAAGATACTTCTCAAACTACATAATATGATGAGCCTGCAACATGTTTTTTAATATACTTCAGATGGTTTGACTATAATTTTAGAATATGAGATGTCAAAAGTTTTGTCAAGAATAGTATTTTTTCTCTCTCTTAAAAAATGATTTAAATAAATCATTGATTTTTACAAAGAATAAAATAAGTTTATTTTCATTAATTCCTTAGTTTAGAGTTTCTGATATATTTTAGATGATCCAAACAAGTGTGACTGGAGGGTCGGTACCTCCTCGATGCCCTGTCAGGAATGACACCACTGGGTCTCGATAGACCTGGAAGCCGCGACGGCAGTTTGATTAGAAAGTAGGTCATGTGAGCAGTTGCATGAATGAGTGAATGGATTCGGGATAGAGACTGCAAGGTAGCAAGTGTGAAGGATGAATGCAGAGACTAGGTTACTTAACAATCATTTATTATTAAAGGAAATTATATAATTATATACATTTTATATGTGTATTGTTAACGAGTTCAAATCAAGAAAAATGCATCTAAATATGCCAGGAGTCATGCGAGAGAGAGTTTACATGAGGTTTGTGTGGCTATAAATACCTTTTGCAGAGGATGTTCCTGGAGTGATGATCAATTTTGTTGAGATATCCATTGAGACAAATAGTCTGTTATTTTTCTGGAAGGGTTTGGAAAGTTCTGGATTGGGAAAGTCAAGGTCAACGTGGTTGGGAAGGTTCGTCCTCACCAGTGGTGTTGGTCGCGGGTGAAATTGGGTCGGAAAATTTGGCACAACAGAATTTTTTTAATAAAATAATTTTTTTTAAATTATTAAAAACGATGGAGTCAGATAATCAGTCTTTACTTGTTTGCACCATTAACCATTACATGGAAAAATAATTCTCCAATCTCTTTTTGGAGATTGGAGAATTATTTTTCCATGTAATGGTTAATAGTGCAAACAAGAATTTTTTTTTTTGGAGACTGAAATCCATGAGGAATGGGCGATGACTGACTCTTCGGCCATCAATTTTGATATCAGTACGATATCGCCCGGCTAAGAAGTTCAGATCAAGGGAATGCATCACTTTTTGTCGGTGGGGAAAGTGTAAATGGAGATTTTCTCAGGTAGCCAAGGACAACAATTGTTGAGCAAGTATGGTGTCATCGACGATTGATTTTTGTTAAAGTTTGGATTCTCATACAAGCTTTAAATTGTTTCAGGTGGAGTTGATTACTTTTCAAGCAATGAAAGCCGGTTTTACTGGTGGATTAGTGATCGATTATCCAAACAGCACCAAAGCAAAAAAGTAGGTATATTCTTTTGAATTTCCGTCGGATGAATGAATTATTTTTTCACAGATTAAAGACAAAGTCGCTCTAAAAATATATATTTCAGACGATTACCATTTTTACATAGTGTTCTAGAACAAAGCATATTCTTCTTTAAAAATTAAACTAATTTTTTATAAATTCTTAGAAAAGTTTTGATGATGATTGAATACTTTTGCTAGATTAAGCTAGGTTAAAATAAATGATTTCTTGAATTTTGTCTTGTTAAAGAGTTGAAGAATATAGTGTACAAAAAGTTTCATATAGATTTTATATTTAACTGCTACATTATATAAAAATGCAAAAGAAATTTTTTAATTTAAATTTGTATGACTTTTAGAAATATAATATAATGAAAACATTATTTTTTAATGTAGATATTTTCTTGTGCTATTTACAAGTGGTTGCCAAAAACTACCAGAAGGTCTGGGAGTAGAATCATCCAATTCTATACCTTACACAAATGTCAGGTAAAATTAGTTGCATTTTATGAATTTAAGAAAATCTTGTGTATTTATGTATAATAAGAGATCATAATTTGTAATCTTTAGAGAGCGTTTAAAAAATGCCAGAGGCAAATCATTGAAGAAGTCCAAAGATTGGATTTTAGAGAAGAAAGAGAGAAGGAGAAGGCAAGGAAAGTAAGTATCTTTTCAAAGGAAATTTTTAGAAATTTCTTCAAAAAGTAGTAGTAGTAGTTTGTTGCTGCTGCTGCTTTCCATTTAGTTAGTTATTCCGTGGATTACGTTTAATGCATTTTATTCATATAAAGCTTCCTTTCATTGCTTCAAATTTAAATCTGGTTTCTCTTTGCATTGAACAATTGTGTTTTTGGTCGATCCCCCTTCTTATTCTACTACTCATAGCTTCTGTACTTCCTTCAACACCATAATTTAAAGGCATAAATTTCTTAGTATCTAGTTTTCATACTCATATGTTGTTGTAGGAAGACTTGCATTTACTAATTTGCATTTCATAGTGAGACTGATATCCTTACTCTTCCAGTGGTTCATGTTAACCATTGCAGTTTGAGCAAGTGTAATTCTTCATTTGATTTTGAGACTGAATTTGTCATTACAATCAATTTTGGAGCCAAGAAAAATGAACAATTTTAATATATAGTTGGTTTGCTGTATGTTATATTAACAATGTAAATTCGTCTCTGTAATCCAAAACACACGCTTTGGTAGACGTATCTCACAGCAATTTCTGGTTAGCAAATTTAACTTTTATTTTTCATTGAACTACAAATATATTTCGGGTTGGTATAATATACTCCAACCCCTCTTCAGTGCTAGTTCAAATAAACAAAAAGTGTTAAAACATGACTATGTTATATTACATTAAATGAAACAAACCAAAAAACACTAAAAACACTTACATTTTTTCATTAAGTACACAACAAAAATTGTTTCTTATTTTGCTTTTTCACAAATTAGGAGGTAGGAGGGTAGACCGTTTACAAACATCAATTTATGTTTTAACTTAAATACTATGCATACCATATTAATATGTAAAATACAAAATAAAGATTGCTATAGTTTAACTCGAAGGAAAAATTGATACTAAGGA